ACTTTTTATTTTTAGTAGACCAGTGCAAATGTACTTTATAAAAGGCAAAATTTACGCTAAACTATTTTAACCTGTGGCGAAAAAATAAAAAATATTCAAATAACACGTACATTAATATTACATATATTAGAATTAATTGAAAATCGTTTGCTTTATTTGGTACCAAAATCACTAAGCACGAACACTTAGATCATAATCAATCTACCGTAGTGTAAGTGATCAAGATTTATTTCGTTACTATTAAGTAAATACAAAATATGTGCTAATATATGGTAAAATTTTTGTTACTTATATCAGTATATACTTATAAAAATGACGATGTTACGTAATCTGACTGACTGTCTAAATCCCTACACTCATACTTAGTTTATTACTTAAACGGATAGATTACATTAACTGAATAGGTTTATTTAATATTTATAAATAAAGATGTATATTATTAGATTACCGTTTTTATTTTATCAAATAACAGTTCACGAGTAAGCAGCAAATTCGTGACTTTACGACAAATTAATTTATCATATGTTCTTCGATAGACGATAAGAAAATCGTGTAGTATCTCGAAGGATCGATAAAACTTTTTAGGCGATGTAGAAACACGTTGCAGTTAATACGTTATCTACTAGATGGTTATCGTGTCACTATCAATTTATCAGTGAGCGTGCCTCAACGATCACTGGGTATCGATCCTTAACGTAAATATAATTTGATAGGCGCCTTGTCGGAACTGAAACAGTAGTCACGTTATCTTATAACTTTAACATTGACCGAGTTCAGGTTTTTAACGTCACTGAAATCTACTTATCGCTGACTTCACTGAGGATTAATGTAATGAGTTGAGACTAATCAACAACTATAGGAAAATTAATCAGAACTCTATTCTATAATATATTTTAATTACTTTTTCATGTACGAAAATGTGCATGAAGGTATAAACAGCCAATGGTTCTCACTGACCAAAATTTGTATCTGTCATCTATTATATATTTATGAACAATAGTGTAGATAATACTTTACACCTATGTTTATATAATTTACAGATATTTTATACCTTTGCTTATATATCTTATGAATATTTTATACCTATATTAACTCGCTGAATTTCGGGATATTACCCGCATGAATTATGATTAAAGATTATTTATTATGTTGAATATTTTTTAATGTGTGCTCTAATTTTTATTGAATGCCGTTTATCAGTTTAACAAACATTTAATCTCAATTTTCATAATATCCTACTAATATTATATGTAAATTTTTTTAAAGATATTTGAATATTTGTTACTCAATCACGTTTAAACGGCTTAACAGATATGAATGTTTAGAACATGGATAAATTTAACACAGAGGATACTTTATACACTGAATCATACAGGCGAAACAAACGAAAAATAACCAATTACTTTTTTGCAAAATCACGTAATGTAGTGTACCTGGCAGCTAACAAAATAGCTAGATTTACGTTGCTTTTACTTTAATTTTAGTCTGTTCTAAAATTGAAATGCAAGATCTGTGTCGGCTTCTCGAGGTTAATGAAGTGTTTGTGATTACAATATTTTAATGTATTAACTAGTAAAGTAAACTTGAGCAAAACAGGATATTCTTTCTTCTATAATAATGGACCGATTATTACTTAGAAAGAGAAAGCTGACATATTCGATTTATTTATTCATCTTTCAAATTGGCTGTAGCTTCTAATATAGTCTCGAAATTTTTTAAAGGTATTATATATAATATTCGAAGAATTTCTGTCAATTATATATAGCTACAAGGGATGAGTTAATTCCAAAATTACTTTACTTGACGATTTTTTGCGTTGCCATTGTTGAGAACGTGAATTGTATTTGTAGAGTATGTATAGTAATATAATATAGTATACATGGATCATACAAAATTGGTATATTTGCACATATCCATTAAACAGGTAATAAATACGTACACAGAGCAACCGACCAGTTTAGAGTACGGACACCATCACAATAACAATTCTATGTCACGCCATTAGTGTAAAATAAACATATATTTTTAAAAATACATTTTGTTGCTAGCAACAGTCACGAATAGATTGAATATACAATAATTAAAATTTTTGCTCCATAAAGTAAAACAAGCTGAAGTGGCAATACGCTGGTCGCAGAACTCGAAGAACCGACAATCGATGGGGAAGAAAGGTTCTTAAGTGGCGACTCCGTACGGGCAAACGCAGTGTAGGGTGACCCCCCACTAGATGGAACGACGACTTCAAATGCATTGCAGGGAGTCAGTGGATGCAGGTGACTCAGGATCGTTCCTTATGGCAGTCTATGGGGGAGACCTATCTCCAGCAGTGGACGGATAATAGCTAATGTAATGATGATGATGATGAAAGTAAATCGACTTCAATTTCGGTAAAACAATAAGGAAACAGTACAGGAATTCTCACTTCTGAAAAAAATTAATAAACAATATTGGTTCAAAATTAAGACATCGTAAAACATTAATAAAAAAAAAATAGATGCGATATACGTTCAAATTTAAGATTTAATGTTAATTAATTTAATTTTGATGATACTTCTTTCTTTGATTGGCTCATATTATATTTTTTATAGAAACATGTAATTAATGAGAAACATTCCATATGTATGTTTTATATTTAGTATTTTTATACCAGTGGATGACCAGAAGTCAGTGGATGCAGGTGCCTCAGGACCGTTCTTTATGGCAGTCTATGGGAGAGGCTTATGTCCAGCAGTGGACGAATAATGGCTGAAATGATGAATCTATACCTGCCAATTTTTCTTTCTAAATTGCAATATTTTATGATAAGTATATCAACAAATAAAAATATGCAACACTTGAAGTATAAATTTAAATTAGCAAAAACATTATGTTTTATTAGTATTTAATAAATTTAACTCTAAGAAAGAATCGTAATATTCTTGTTTTCTACTGCAGGGCTAACGTAACTTATGTATATTCCTTATATTTCGTAATTTAATAAAAAAAAATATTAACCGTATCGTTGGGGGAAAATGAAAATTATGCATGCCACGTAAAATTGTATACGTTTGACCGTATAGAGAAAAAAGTGTAAAAAAAACTCAATATATATATAATAGTTAATATTAAATTTTTCATCGTGTTAAGTCCCGATAGTGTTTTTAAACTATTATACAAAACCTTGGAAAAAGAATATAATAATATAAAAAAAGGCCGTCTGGTCAGGTTTTAAGCAACAAACAGGATTCTGGTATTTTGAAGTAAATAAATTTATTTTATTTATTTTTAATTTATTTACTTGCTTAATTTAATTCGAAGAAAACTTATCAAAGAAAATTATTTTTACATAGGTACTTAGAGGAATAGTAAAATATTTTCATATTAATATAAAATCAAATTACGGGGATCACTAATACTCAAAAAAATTTTTCAGAATAGGTCTAGTAAAGTGTTGCTATACCGTGAGTGCAGTGCACTCGAGTAAAGGTCAGAGTTAAGGTTAAAGTTGATGGCGGATGGGCGTTGCATTGGTATCGGCGGTGGCGGTGATCGCCGCTGGGCGGGCGGTGCAGGGTGCAGGGCGCACGGCGCAGGGACACCTGAAGGCGCGGCGAGGGGTTCGCTGCAGATTCACTTTCGTCCGCCACCGCCCGCCATGCCAGTAAGAGAAAGTTAGCCGTGGCGAGCGAACGAGTCTCGCGGGTCGAGCGGCGCGCCGCGCACGCACGATACGCGCTCGAAAATCGGCGCCCGGCCTTGCCGCCCTTGCACTTCCCATGCACTCGATATAAACATGCGTTGAAATGTCAATGAAAACTATACAATCAGAGAAGATTTCCGCATTCTTTGTTAATGTATACGCGAAGATTTGTGCAAAATTTGTAAAGCAGTTTGTTTGTAAGCATTTGTTTTAATAAGACTATCAAATTATTGTATTAGGACTTGTCAATATTTTAAGGAACAATGCAGTGTTATCCTAAAATGTCTCCAAAACGTGAGCCCTTGGACGTGGGCTATGAACCAGAGGTGATGCCGGGCGTTCGGCGGTTGGAGTTACCGGCGCCTCCTGGCAAGGAGTTTCGTGCACCAGCTTTGCTAACGGCACCAACGCCCCCATCAGCTCACTCGGTGATTCAATGCATGCGACCTCCACCACCACCGCCACCGCCGCCACCACCACGTCTTCACAAACCGCCGTCTTTTGAGGAACCATCCAGCTCTATTCCAGATTTAGGTAAGTGCAGTAAAAGTTTTTAATTGTGTTGATTGTATAAGAAATAAAATGTATACAAATTAGAAGTTTCTTATTGAATACACGATTTGAAGTATGATTTAATATTAACCCCGTAGATGCCTCTACATGTCTATTTTTGATTGAGTACATGCAGCAAAGTTTTTAATGCTCAGTACTATAACAATTTATTTTATCATGTTGTGTACTGAATTACAATGTTGTTGTAATATAAATAAAAATTATATACTCGTTGAAATTCCACTATCGACTCGTAGAGGTACTACGATGTTACAAAATATTTCTTATTGATAGTAATTTCTGTAATATTTTATTTGAAAACAAAAATAAAAATATATATATCGAATAGATACTATGAATATCTATTCGATATTTGTTATATATATATATTTTGTATGTCCCTATAAGACTTACATGAAAATCATATATGATATCAGTGAAATGATGGTGGGTAACATTATTATTATAAATACCCATAGATACAACATTTTACGATATTTTTTATTCTTATGGTCATTGACGAGGACTCATTATTGTTTAAAATAACATTATTAAACTATTTCTAAATCTTAAGACTTAGAAATTACTTAATTATTACACGTTGACTTTAGCACAATTATTGATAGTAATAGTCGTGCAGTAATATCTCTGCTTTTTACGTGGTAACATTACGAGGACAGAACATTAATTTAATATATATTTAATCTGTAAATCCTTAACATATTTGCTGATATCTAGATGTTATGATTAGTGTACAATTTTACTTTACCTTGGCCGCTGCGTTTATACTTCCTGCTTCGGAAAATTGTAACGCGCGTTTACATCTATACAGCAATTTCCGGGTGATGATGACGAGGTCTCACGAAGGTCGCCTATTGAAACAACATATTATATTATAGCATTTATTACTGATCTATGTTGTACATTGCTAACAACATAATAATCACGCGTTGAAGCCTGTGGGGATGTAAGTATGTTTCCGGAAAAAGAAGGAATATTTAGTGATGAAAAGTCATTGAAAATAAATTAGATAATTTAATATTTCTGACACAACAATTATACGTACCGATGAATACTATAATAGATAATGTCTGTTCATATCAAAATAAATATTTTATATGCCTGCCTAAATTTTTTACCGAGACAAATAAATTTGCTTTGTGATTATTAAATACACAAAGATAGTAGGTAATACGTGTTAAAATTCATGTATCCTTCCTCAATCAACAAGGGAAAGAATTGGATCATAAAATAACTTATTGCAAGCTCTGCTACGTAACGAATTACAATCCCATAACCTTATACAGAGCACTGATAACGCAAACGTTTACCCATGGAAAGTAATCTTTAAATAATATCCATTTTCGCAAATGCTAGATTAGATAAATATCGTACAAGGTCAGTAGGTACATCCTGCAGTGACGACGCATCATTCGGTGTCATTAAGGTCACTGTGACATTGGACCGATAGCAGTGACAAAATAATAGCCGTATCTTATCTGGCAATGTCAAATGCGCGGGCGCAGGTGCCTGCGACCTATGTGCCCTGCTTGTTTTTAAAACCTCAGGCAGTTAAACAGTGATCTGTCAAATGAGTCACCTATATTTGATATCATAAAGGTGATTTCAACTGAGACTATTATTTTATAAATACGTACATACATACATTACCGTCACGTCTGTCTCCTATTGGGAGACTATAATTCTTGTTTCATCTAGCTCTCTAAGTGACCAAACTAACATAACATTCCTTTTTCGATCTTTGTCGCTATATTATCTTTTAGACCACACTTCTCGTCACACTATTTCCCATTCTATCTTTTAATGTACCACACGCATACTTAAGATATAAGTGCTCTCATCTCTATAACTATCTTGCTTTCATGCTTCTTCTGCAACAGCTACGATTCACTTCCATACATGAGTGTTGGTGTCAGTACCCCTTAAATTATACAAGGCTAGTCTTGCTCGATACATTTTTGCTTGCCGTAACTAAGAGCAGTACACCGTTAACACTGTTCCCCGCTTTCACTCTCCTTCCAATATCATACTGTCCGTCTTTTGTAAATACTATTATTTTATTTTGTATTAAGAAATCATTTAAGACTTGGCTCCTAAAAATACTTCAATTGTGACAAAATAACGATCAACGAGTGTTGATCAACCCTACTAATTGCAAAAAAAAAAGAAAATTGGCAAAATATAGTATACTATATTTTGCCAATATTGTTTTTTTCATAACATATCCATAAAAAAACAATGGGATTAGGAACCTTCATTTTGAAGTCGCTTAATTAATAAAAAAGGTCCTTGTTGACAACTATCTTATGTGAAATCTTCAATGCGTAAATAACATATAATTTTATATAATTCATAAAACTGTGGTGATATAAATATTTTTTTATACTACTGAGATAGCAAATAAGCATGCGGTCCATCTGATTGTAAGCAGTTACCGTAAGATATGAACGCCAGCAATACCAGGGACATTATGCGCGTGATTGCCAACTCTTAAGAAACCTCATTACCCCTTTTTTTAAGAACCCAATGTCAAAGGGAGCTTATTCCTATATTCATTACTCAGAATCAGAAAATTAATTTAATTACGTTATAAAAAGAATTTTTTACAAACATCACTTGTAAATATTTCAAAAGCACGCCTCAAAATAAAAAATGCCAATAGTATTTTATGACGCAATTACAGAAGTGATTAAAGATTTTTAAGCAAAAATATGCTGCACATTTTGTATTTATAGGGACATACACAGCAATAAAGGAAAGTCGACGTCAAGGTATACTTCTAGATAGACTAATATATTTTTATTTTATATTATATTTACCCCTGAGTCCTGAATTGAAAAAATTGAATATTTAAATTATTTATTAAAAGTGCGCACGAAGGATTACGTTCTTTATTTATTGCCTTTTAAAACATTATACAATTATATAGTAATTATATAGTATGTAATATAACTTTCCGGAAAATTCCATCTAAGTCGTGTAGATTACGTGACGTAGTTCACCAATCTACTGAACTGAATGTAATGGAAATTTACACAGACAGATAGCTAAAAGCCCACCATATTAAATTAAAATTGGTTCCCTTGGAGATTGGTATTTAGATGAATTACCTGATTTAGCAAGTACTTTTCATAAATTTATACTCATAATTACATCGTAGATTAAAAAGCTACATGTGAAATCATGTACTACACTGACTATAACATTACTGAATAAATAATAAAAATATCTTAAGTAGGATTCATTCATATTTTTTAAATTTTTTGTTTAGATATAAAAAATATATTTTAGCAAAACATGCTGTAAAGACGCTCATGTAAAGATGATCAAATATGATTTGTTCGCATACTATTTATATTATTTGGTCTTACTAAATAGAGCAAATAACAGGTCGTGTTTTTGCAAATAGAATATGGCGCATGACTTGTTATCATATCACCATGACCTTCTTGGAGAGTAAATTACTTCCCGCTGATAATCATATGCGATATCATCGTACTATGATTTCCTGGTTGCAGAAAATAATTAACTATTTGCTTATTTTGCGATATTATTTATTATCAACAAGGTCGCTTTATTAATCCTGTCATTCATATCTTCGATTAGTAATTGCGTTCAATCCTAATATACCTACTCGTACATTATGTATTTTCATTTCATTTATTACACCTTTGTTAGTAATAATTTTTGCAGAGTCACGAATAACTTTAAATATTAGTAAATTTATTTATTATACTGAATAATAAATATTTAATCTAGATAAATATACCAAGAATGTTTTCAAATTATTGTAAAATCTGAACAGTATGCAGTATTCCTATGCAAGGTGTTTAGTCTTTATTATATAGGCTAACTAATATGACACGGTAATATGTATATATGCTATAAATGACTGAGTACACAGTATACAGGGAAGTATTAGTTAGCAACCTTGGCCGAGGTCGCAGCGTGGCGCGTCATTTGCTACATTAACAATACAACGGTTTCATAATACCTATATACTACTTTGCCATGGTTTTGCAATTTCAGGTGGGTGATCCGAGATTATAACTAATATTGTTTTAATCTTATAATTCATGATCAGTTATTATGGAAACAACTGAAATTCTGAAAGATCTATTCATCGCTTCTCTCCCGCCTACCACCCCTCACTGTTCTCTTTATACCCTTCCCACGCGCGCTCTACCCAGCCCGATATGACCGGGCAGGGGGTCACGGCCGCACGTATTTCTAAAGCACGTGTTCTGATATTTGTAAAATGATTACGCTTTTTATCAAACCAATCTAATATTAAATAAAACCTCACAAACTGTATATTGTATCTGAAATTGTGCATGGTTACTGTCACTGTCCTTCAGATTATCAAATTGGTTAAAATTCAAATTAAGGTTAAAAAAAAAAGGTTTAATCATGTCGTAAGGAGCATATTGAGGTATTTGAGTGGACGATAAAATGTCTGACTTAATTACGAACTAAAAGAATCAAGAACACAGAGAAAACAAAGTAAACATGCGCTATTTTTATTTGCATGATTGTGGCGAGCGGAGTACTGAAGGTCATTGATAAGGAATCAGTAATATTACAAACTTCGCACATACTTCATGTAACCTCGACGCCATGTAATAGCATAATCTTACACGTGCATATAAATATAGAGAAGCTTCTACGTGTGATGTATACCTACTTCAATTAATGTTTCTAGGAATGGTTCAACTACTTACGAATGCTTCCTTACAACCATTCGTTATTTCAGCCATTCAATGTCCACGGTTAAACATAGGCTTTTCCCGTAACTATATGCCCTATTCACACGAAAACGGCTCCGGGCTGCCTATATTTATTGACTTCCTGTGACACATTTATGGTCTTTCTTGTACCTAGTGGATTGGCTTCTATGATTCTACTTCTTGTTTTTTTTTCGGTAATTACTTAAAAACTTAGCTTCCTCGTCGTTTGTTGATTATTAAACATAAATTTTAAATATTTAACAATAATCTTAAAGTAGTTCTATATTCACATGAATCTTTGAAATTTGTGAATATCAATATTTATAAAGATTAATCCTTATCACTTTAAACTGATTCCATAAAGTAACGCAAAAGGAAATGCTTATATAAGAGAAGAATGTTGGCTCAGTACTCAGCTCAGCGCCCCTGACCCACGCACTTGAGCCCGCGTTGCCATGGTCACGGCCGATCAATGCGGCGCGGCGCGGCGGCGGCGTAGGGATGCATCGGCGAATAATGAGATTTGGTTTCCTCGTTCCTGTTATTGATATAGTTCTATTGATTAGAACAGATACATCCACTACCTGTTCCAAATCTCAATTGGGACAGGTACCTAGTTAATATTTTTCTAAACTTGTGGCAAATAAAAATAAATCCCCTGGTAGAAAAGTAATCACTGTCTATTTATATGTGAATTTAGTGAATACTTTTTTCCATGAATGCAGATTATTTAAATTACAAATTATTTACATACAAATACATTGTAAAAATAAAAAAAAATACGTGTAAATAATACCTACCTAGATAAAAAAGTATGGGCATCCAAAAACGTTTATGCTTTCCGTAAATGCTAGAATTTACTGATATAAAGAGAACCAGAAACATGAGCAGTAACAATTATAATATATTTTTTATTCATTTTTCATTCGTATCAGCCGTTAACTGTTTACTGCTGAACATAGGCCTCCTCCATAAGGAGAGTTTTGTTTCCAAACTTTGGCGGGCGGGATGGTAATCGCAATTAGGCTTTGGAAATAAAGAGGGATGCTGCTGTCCATTAATTTCTCTTAGTCGCTCATTACACCATACACAGGAATGGAAGGGGTGGCCCATTCTATTCCGGGACCACGCGGCAAATATATTTTTTATGCAACTTAGAATGGCAAACAAATTGACGGCTCGCCTGATGAATATATATATAATTTTATATAATATTATTATATTGTATCATTTCCATTCCACCTCAATGAAGAACGTTAATTCAGTTAGAACTTGTTATTGCCTCTATGTGAATCTTTCAGAATTTTCTTTAAAATATAATAATTCTTACATCAAAATTCGTTAAGTAATATAAAAAAAAAAATTTATAGAAGTGGACAAACAAGGGATATTCTATTCACCATTCCAAATACTGCGCGCAATTTCATGGTGTTAAGGATGTTAAGGCACCAAGAGGGTTTGTAACCTAAATAAACAAACAGATTCAGACTTATATTACGTTGGATTATTGAGTATAACATAATAATAGAGTAAGTTATAAAATTTCTTTATATGAGTCTATATATCTATATAGGTGTCCAGTGGTAGATCATAAGATCTCAAT